GCGTCACTGTTAGACGTTTGCTTCCCCTATTCAACGTCCAAGTTTCCTCTTCTTCTCTTTGGTGATAATGGTGATTTAAGGTAAGAAGCTTTGACCATTAACTCTCTCGTGTTGTGCGTATATGGCTGGATCAGAATGTGAACTGTTCCCCATTTTCTGCTGTGCATGAGTAATGAAATGTTGGGGATTTGATTTCTTTGAGTAATAAATTTGATTTTTGTTGAAATAAAAATTAAAAAGGGCAAACTGAGTTATCTCAAATATGAATGTGATATTATTTGGGAAACGAAATTTATAGAAAAGGAAGTGGGATTTTGGTTCGAGGATTCACGCATGACAGATGTTTGATAAAATGTCCATTGGTAGAGATTGTTTGTTTTAGTAGCTAATAGTGATAGTTTCTTAAGGAAGATGATTTGGCCTAGATATTAGTATTTTTGTATATCTCAATAGGTTTTAACAAGGGATGTATTTAAGAAGCTGTCAAAATTTTATTTGAAGTTTTAAATTATTAAGAGTTAATGGTTGATGATCTATAAGGTATATTATCATTTTATTAATTATAGTTAAGTGGACTCTCTTAAAAAAAATAAAAAAAATAAATAGGACTTTTTAATTCAAAAGCAAGGTTCATGAAGATTTTATTATATATTATAGGGTAATCGTAAGCAGGGTAACTTGATTGGAGCTGAAAGAAAGGAGTTTTAAGTTGAAACCATTACAGATAAGTGGATAGCGTCCCAACTAATTTTTTTAATCAAAATTTCATTTGTTAAAATATTATATTTTTCTGGAAATCATTTTTATAGCATTAATGCGATTATTGATTATTTGTTGATTAACGTTTCTTTATTTTGTGAAATTAGCTTTACCAAATTTGAAATGTTATTTGACCAATTAAGTCAGTTTGAACTTTGATTATAAGATTTTTATTTTATCAAATATTGAATTGATATAGAGAATGATTCATGCGAGTCAACACGTTGAAATTTTTTAAATGCAAGCATGAGCATCTGAAATGAAATTTGATTCTGGCAAGTTTAATACCTAAAAGTATTCATGCGAGTTTGATTTTGAGAATGAGAACTGTACCTGAAAATGGTGATTTTCTCGCATGTTTGAAAATGGTTTTAAAAGGGGACTTTATATAGAACACTGGTTGCTAACGGCAGTTCCGTTAGCCTTTGGCGCGCCATGGTACACTTAGCTAGCAGGGTATTTATAGGAGGTGCTAGCCTCGTGCGATGGCCAACGCACGTGGAATGGAGGGATGGTTATTCGTGGGCTTTGTACCCGCGTTTGATTTCGTGGCTTCAAGCCGCGTTTGGTTAGCATGACCCTCGTGGACTGTGTGTCCACGTTGTTTCGTGGCTTCGGCTGCGTTTGGTTACATACCCTCGTGGACTATGTGTCCACGTTTGTTTTCGTGGCAAGAGCCGCGTTTGGTTATTTGCCTTCGTGGACTGTGTGTCCACGTTTGTTCATTATTCTGATAAGTCCCTATTACATGAATTTGATTATTTGGTAACTTTACATCCCATTGGTTTTAAATAGTAATTATTTATAATTATTGATTTTGTTATTTGTTTCCTTGCAATCAAATGATAATATTAATTATTATGAGATTTTAATGGTTTGAGATTTTATTTAAAATTTTATAGAATCGTTTTATTTCAAAGTTTATTAAATTTTTATAAAGATCGTTGTCTCTTATCTTACATAATCATTTAAATTTTTTTTATGTTCAATTATTTATTGTTAGGACGTTATTCACTGGAAATTATTATTTTGGTCTCAGATACGTTAGCTGAGGTTATGCCTTCCGTAAATCCTTAAGGGGCTGTAATATTCAGTTGAGAGGAAAGCTGAAATCAAACTTCTTTAAAGTAAATTTCTTATGTCAGGTGCTCCATATATGCTATAGTTAGGGTCCTCATCCTTATGATTTATACTTTGTTATTTGCTGATTGGAAAAGAGTTCCTTGCTGCTACTATTGTTTTGTAAAATATTCGTAAATTTGTTTTTGGGAGATTTATTTTAAGGAGAGATTCAATCAATTTTTTTTAAATTTTAAACCTTTTGTTCGTATGGTTTGTTTCAAGGAAGGTTTAATTTATTATCAAATATTTTTATGGTTTATAAATTAGAGTTTTTATACATAAAAACTATTAGGATATGGGTATTATCCTTATATTCTGTGCCGAACATGTTCAAATTTCGGGGTGTGACATGAAACCTGTGCCATTAGCTAGTTCATGTAAAGAGCTTTTTGTAGACATCTAGATCACGTCATTCGGATGTTGGATGGAGAATCGAGACGTGTCGAAAGTTCCCTAATTTTATTGTTAAATGACAACATAATCTGTTGAATTTTCGTGCAACACGCTGTGGCGCATGGCGCCTAAGTTGTGGCACGTGGCACAGAGAGCAACACACCATGGCGCAACGTGCACAAGCCGTGGTGCACTGCTCTGTCACATATTATAAGAATCGTTTTTTTACTTTTTTTCAATTTCTTTCATTCCTCTAAGGTATCTCATACTTTTGTAACTTATTTTTACTCTGATATAAAGGATTTTGATTGATTTAAACTCATTTTTATTTAGAAAACTTGGGATCCCTTGAATTTGAACTAAAAGTTGGTAATCACCTTTTTGAGTTAAGTCTTTGATTATCATGAACTATATTAGTTAATTGTATTTAGTGGAGTGAGATTTTTACACATAACATTACATGAGTGGGTGCAAAAGTGTCCAATTATTAACTTTGACTTAACGCTATTAACTTTGACCGTTAAATGCTAACTGTGCATGCCACGTGTTAGTCTTTGTTGATGTGGACTAATAAAAAGGAAAAACTACTCATGAAGTCGTTGACCAGGAGCAAAAATACTTATAACATTACTATAGTTGGTGTAAAAGTAACCAATCCATCAAATCCCTTAAATGTTAACCATTTAGCTGATACTTAATAGAAGTTGACTATTTTTTCACTGATATGGACAAAAAATATACCAAGATGAAATTCTCTAGATGTAATCGGTCATTGTATGAATATCATGTGAGAAAATATTATTTTAACCAAATATCAAATTAAATCGCTTGTTTTTTTGCAGCAGTGGCAAAAACCATTTGAAAATTTTGAATCTATCATGAATGAACTTGCTTAAGGTTATGACAATGTTCTTAAGGTACAGTGGCATAGGAGGTGTGCTCAATCTTTATCTTCGATTGTGTACAATATATCTCACTATGTTGAATCTTAGATTTTGTAGCCAAGAAAAATGAGTAGAGAGGGAGGGAGGGAGGGGACAGGATACGTGGCGATGGAAAGAAATCATGTGGCATGGATTTTGATGGATTGACCACTATTACACCTATTAAAGTAACATTGTAGCTATTTATATAATGATCAATCAACCTTTATAAAAATTTATCTGGGAATATTTTTTTATCTACATCAGTGAAAAAATAGTCAACTTCTACTTAGGTGTTAGGTAAGTTATTAACATTTAAGAGATTTGATGGATTAGTCACTTTTGTACCAACTCTGATGATGTTATAAGTATTTTTGTCCCTTTATTAGTTTACGTGAGTAATGACTGACATGTGGTTTGCACAGTCAGCATTTAACGTTTAAAGTTAACGATATTAGGTTAAAGTTAACTGTTTGGTCACTTTTGCATCCACTCATGTAATGTTATTAGATTCGAAAATAAGGGCCGGACCTAAAAACCTTGTTTAAATAAGAGTTCGATCTTTAAAATTAAATTATTTTGAAATAATCAAGCTTAAGGCCTAGCCATGATAAACCTTGTGAAAAAGGGCTTAGGTCCAGATGACCCTTCAAACCCTGATAAGTTAGGTTATTTTATATATATATATATATATGTATACATACAAACATATATTTGACTGATAATAACACAATTTGGTTAATATTTATTATAGATAATGAATAAAAAGTTGTAGATAATTGATATTAAATCTTCAACTCCATCTTAACAAGTGGATCTACGTATGAGGGATCTAATATTTTATTTTAGATGATGATAAGGAGGATTTAGATTTACATTGATGAAGATTTTAATTTTTATCTTAAATTTAAAATTTTAAATCTTTGTCAAATTTTATGTGAGACTTTAATTTGTTTTATATTGAATTTTAAAATATTCTATTTAAATTAAAATGTTGAATTTTTTTTGAAAAGAGGGCTTAAGGGCCTGACCTTAAGCCCTACAAATAAGAGTTAAGTCTCAGAACGAGGTCAAATTTTAGATAACTGAGCTTCAAGATCTTAGTTCTTAAGGGCCGAGCCTATAAGGGCCAAACCCGCCCTAATTCCTATCTCTAAATGTTATGGGTATTTATGTTTTTTTTTTCACTTTAGAATATTGGATGCTTCTAATTAACTATTTTGTGGGTATTTTTATCTCTTTACCCTATAAAAATAAAATAAAATAATTAATATCTATCTAATGTAAATGATGTTGATTATTTTGTGTTTATATACTTCTTTCAACTATAATATAAGTCACAGTTAATTAATTCACGGTTTACAATAATGTTAGATAAAAATGTCAACATCTTTTCATTTATAGCCTTATTAAATATTCTATATAAGAGCCTTAATAATTGTAATTAAAATTCTCATATGAGATTTTTTTCAAAAAAGAAAAGAATGAAGTAGGATTATAGTTATAAAAACAAATATAAAAGCTATTAAATGTCCTATATTTTGAACCAAAGATATCTTATATTATTGTAGAAAGGAAATGCATGCATACGTGCGTGCGTGCGTGCGTGCGTCCTTTGATTCTTTGAAGCGTAAAATGCGTATAATATTTTTATAAAAAAAAAATATAGTAGATATGATATCTTATCCTTTATCTTATCCTTTTGTCAAGAAAAAGAATAAAATATACACAATATCCAATGGTACTTATCACAAATCAGATGAAGCCAGACCCAATAAAGCGAAACAATGACAGAGTCGGAAATCCCACGGACGCTAAAATGACATGCTCCAAAATGACTGGAACAAAAGACGGCAGAATGACAAAACCCAATCGTCAGTCCCGCAGACCTTGGAGCCCGCAAAACGATCTCTCTCAAGTCTCAACTCTCAAGGAGCAAAGCCAGTAAAGCCTAAAGGTCCCAGTGATCGGAAGGCTTTCCTCTGAGAAATCCCATGGATGACTTCCCGCCGTATCTTCCCCAAGAAATCATCGTAAACATTCTCAAGCGACTTCCGGTAAAATCCCTTATCCGATTTCAATGCGTCTGCAAGCATTGGAAACATCTCATCAAGTCCTCATATTTCGTATCAGAACACCTCCATCACTCAAGTCTCCAAAACCCTTGTCTTCTTTTCCAACGGGAAATGAGCGGTGACCCTTTTATCTTACATTTGCTTGATTCCCGGTTGCAAGTCCGTGAACTTCAGAACGACTTTTGGTGTGCTCAAATCGTGGGTTCTAGCAATGGCTTGCTCTGCATTGGAATGGGAAAGTATATTTTGTCTCCTCTCAGCTTTTTATTATGGAATCCTGCTATTAGAGAGGTCAGACAGGTGCCTATCAATGATTTTGAGCGTGCTTCCGCTGTAGGATTTGGGTTCAGTCCGATTATAAATGATTATAAGGTAGTTAGAATTACTATTGGGATTCTGAAAAGTCGCGTGGATGTGTATTCATTAAACACAGGGTTATGGAAGGAAATAAACTTTGGAAAATTAAAGGATTTGAGCTTTTGTTCCAATGCTGTCACTGCTAATGGAACTCTATTTTGGCGTGCCTTTGATGTGAAGGATCTGGATGAAATCAGTGTGAAATCGTTGGGTTCTGATTTTGATTTGATAGTTTCATTTGACATAGCAATGGAATTGTTTACCTTGATTCCCGAGCCTGCCATAGACCCTGATTCAAGTGCTCACCTTGTTGTGTGTGAGAACAAACTTGCTATGCTTTGTTTGACCTTTGATTCTTTTTTGATTGATTTGTGGGTAATGGAGGAGGAAGGCACATCTGAATTTGGGAAGAGATGGAGTTGGACCAAGAAACATACCATAATCACCTCTTCAGGCATGTTGTTTCCATCTGTTATTTGGAGGAATGAAATTGTCTGCAAGTCTGATGAAGTAGTGTGGACATCCATTTGGGGAATTCAATATGCAACAACTATTCTACCTTTGTTAAATCTCAGTACTCATAAATTGAAGAAATTGGCTATTGAGGGTTGTGCAACTGTATATTCAAGGATTTTCAATCACGTAGAAAGCCTGGTTCCAGTTAGCAGCATTCCCATTGAAGAGCCTTCATCCTAAATCTTAATCATTAACTAGCACATTTATTTTGTTTAAGCACTTGGGTGGAAATGAATCTTTGACAATTTATATCTTTTGAGTTTTGACTGTTCTTGTTATCCTTGATGTCCTTTGGAGATCTTATCTAGAATGTTTAATTTTTAGCTTTATTTGACATATCTATTACACCAGACTGTACAGTTTTCTTTCTAAGATAATATATCAGTTGGTAGCAGGTGTATGTATTATGTGGGACTTGTCCATTTAATATGCTAGTTTTGTGTGGCATGATTGGGAAGTAATCTAAGTTTCTTACTTTTTTTTTATTTTTTATTTTCATTTAATTTCTAGTGGAGAAATGAATTAAACATACTGGTTGGTTTGTGTGGGTAGTTTTCCTTTCCATCTAACAAAAGGGTATTTGCTCTTAGGATTATTGATAGGTTAGAACAGTAACAGGCTGTTGTTTGATTCTATTCCAATGATGCTCAGAAGTCAGAAGCATCCTGATGCAGGTTTTGATTGATGAAAGATGAAATTAATGTTGATCAATTTACGAGGTGAATTCAATTTCTCTTGCATTATGGAAGTTTTAATTTGAATCCTCTAGTTCCAAATTCATGTATGTTTACTCCTTTTGGGGGTTTGAAGCATGCAGGACCATCGTAACATTCTCATCTCTGCTACTTCAACTTTATGCTCTTGCTGTCCCGTTAGAGCCTAACATTCACTACTATTATGAAGATCAATATTTGAGACAAATTGTCCTCTGCTAAACAGTGACTTTCCAATTTATAAATTAATGAAAGAATAGTGATCCAAAGAAGCAGAGGTTTCCAAAGTCCCTGTCTGGTTTTTATTTCTTTTTCCTCTCATCCTTTCATGCATACCAAAACAATTTTTTTCATTTCCTTATGAGAAAGTGTTTCTTCCTCCAATCTCTATGAAATATATTGCAATGCACAACAAAGATCATCTATCCCACAATATCATTTTATATGTTTTCGAAAGACTTGTTATAAGATCACTTTCTCAATCCAAGGAGCAAATATTGAAAACAAAATCTTGTCAAGACGCCATCTATCATCAAGTATTTATTGCTTACTTGACCCTTGGTTTAGTGTGATACATTTCTTCAGATATTCCTGTTTTGATTGGATTGCCACTCGTAACTATTATTTTGTCTACATCTCATCTTCAATTTTCAAACAAAGAAGCTATAACTAGGCTTATATGACAGTGCTGTTAAGAAACCCTGTTAAAGCATGGATTAGGATTGTGTAGTTGCTCCTCCGATGGGTTCCGTTATCCTCTTTCATGTGTTGGATTAACACTTAAGATGTTTTGCACCCTATGCAAATAAAACGTAGTTTTTTTTTGAAGAGATTGACCATTTAAAATTAAGAAAAATTAATCATTTAGTCTTTATAATTTTGATTTAGCTATAATTCAATCCTTGAACTTTGACTCATTTATAACTTAATTCTTAAACTTTAATTTATTATCATTCAGTCTTTATAGTTTTGATCGGTTATAACTCAATCCCTGAATTTTAATTTTTGTAATTCAGTCCTTATGGTTTTAACCATTTAAAATATAGGTCCCTATATTTTAAAAATAAAACAATAAATATTAAAATTATTTTAAAATTTTAGTCTTTTTAAAGATTAAAAGGGCTTTGTAACTTAAAATATTAGTCTTAAATTTTAACATAATTTTATTATTTATAATTTTTTATAATATATGGATCAATATTTTAAATAGTTAAAACTATAATAATGAGGTGCTACGAGTTAAAATTTAGGTATTGAGTTATAACTAAATCAAAAATTATAAAGATTAAGTGACAACGAATTAAAATTTATGAAATAAGTTATAATTAAGTCAAAACTATAATGACCAAATAATTAATTTTCTCATAAATTTACAATATAAACACTTGCTTACAATGTTTTTCATAATTTTTGCATAGTAGTTATCATATTTTTGGATAATGAATTAGAGAGTTCATTTGTGAATGTTATAGATCATAGGCATTTTAAGGAAGACTGTTAGCATAATACATTGATTTACAATATTGTATAGGAAAAATTTTATGTAAGGACCCTTGACCCAACATAATGAAAAAAAAGGATTCTAGAATTTTTGAAATTTCACTAGAGAACCCGTTTGGAATTTGTTAAATTTGTGATAGAAATAACAAAATTTTTCCTCATTTAAATGAACAATATAAACAATTTTTTTATTTCCATAATGTATATTGTTTATTTACTTATAGAATGTTGTTTATTTTCCTACTTTACTTATTTATAGTCCTAGTTTTATTTGATTTCATTCTAATTGTTGATTTTATGATAAGATAACTTATTCATTCCTATACTATATGTTGTTCATTTACTTACAGAATATTGTTTGTTTCCATACTTCACTCGTACATACAGAATGTTGTTCGTTTCCCTACTTCACTCGAGTGAAGTAGGAAAACGAACAACATTTGTATGTAAATGAACAACATACAGTATGAGAATGAATAAATCATTTATATTGTTCATTTAAATGAGGGTAATTTTGTCATTTCTATCACAAATTTAAAAGAAATTTCATATGGGTCTTTCAATAAAATTTCAAAAATTTTGGGATCCATTTTTTCATTATGTTGGTTCAAGTTCCCCACCTAAAATTTTCCTTATTGTATATATGGATAAAGATTGCAAAAAGGAAGTTTGGAGACCAAACCTGTAACACTCCAGAAATTTTAACTTAAGGATAATTGGATATTAAGGATAAATTAGACAATTGAAAATCACTTAGATTAAAAAGTAAAGTACGAATGGCTAATGGGTATATCGAATCTTAATTAGGGCTTAGAATTGGACTCTAGGTGGAATTGAGCCATATTTAGGCTCAATTAGATGGACAATACTTGAAATCTAAAATTTTGATCTTTGGCCATAGCTAAAGATTTATTGGCTGCGATCAAAAAACCAATTTTTTAGCCTCTAGACTCACATTTCAACTAAAATAAATTAGAGTTTTAAGTAGGAGTCTGAAGGTAAACAAAGAAGGCTCTGCTAGGGTTTGTTGTGGGCACCCAATTGAGTCCATTTAGAGTTTCTAATTATTTAGGTAAGTACTTATAACCTCTCCTCTTCCTCTCTTGTACATTTTTATTATGGTTTTTAGGTAGTTCTTTGAGAATTCATAAATAGGTTGTGAGTTTGCCTAAAATTCTAACTTTTATAGGATTAATGAGAGTTTATTTAAGTATCTAACTTTTGGGTTATGATGCTATTGATGTTTTAGGATTTTAAAATAAGGTTTGGAGTAAACCCTAGAACTAATTAGTTGAGCGGGAAAGGTTATGAGTTTTTAGTGGTGTTAATTAGACTGTTGAGAGTCTAAGTGAACTAATAAAACCTAAAAATGGATTTGGTTATGGGTAGATGACCACAATGAAATTTTTAAGCTTAGGCTTTGATTAGATTTAATTAAGGATAATTAATCATTAATGACTATTAGTGTATTTGATTATAGATTGACCATTATTAGTACTATTGAGCTCATTGAAGGCTCTATTTAATATTCATGAGTACTCTTGGTTAGTAAACCAAGAGTTGAGATAATCGAGAATTTTAATTATTATATATCATAGTGTCTGCAACTATAAGTTATGCTAAATTATTGTTGACTGAGATGGGTAACATGGACATATTAGTTAATATGTTGACTTTAAGTTAATGTTATGTGATAAACATGCCTACTAGTGATACAAATGCTTTATGGCTATGTGATAACCTATAAGTTTTATTTATGAATGTGTTGAGTTTTTGAGATATGCATGAGCATATATTTACATATGTCAGCCAAACTTATGATCATGATGGGTGAGATTTCACCCTATAATAGTAAAGATTAGAATGATAAATCCACATGGTGTGGTCTCCACCAAGTTTGAACACATGGTTGGCATATTTCATTATTTTATGTGCTTAGTATTATTAACAACCTACGGGTATGGCATGTGTTGGACACGATTCTCATATCACTGATCTTGTATTGGATGATGTGAGTCGGGCACTTATGACACCTTGAAATTTGAGTAAGGGAAACTCATGGTCCAAAGTGAGTACGAAAGCCTGGTGACCCCTCACAATTAGAGAGTGTGGTTAATCCAGTTATACAGACTAGACCTATACGAGTTGTTAGCCCATGGGGTCAGTCAAAAGATATAAGGAGGGATATAAGGTGGTTGCATTGATCATGTAGCATACTATTTTGTGTTATAATGTGATTAATATGTGATTGACCTATGTGATATAAATTGCCTACTTGTTTATATGCTTTAATTAAGTTTATTGATTATTGAGATTGTTTAATCTCACTCCTGTTTGTTAATATCATTACAGGAGACAATAAGGCTAAGGAAAAGGGAAGGCATTGATGCCAAAGAACTTGAGCTTATCTTGTAAAGTCTCTAGTTAATTATGTGTAATTGACATTATTTTGCTAACATTAGGGTTTTTTTTATATTGACTTATGTTTATTTGAAGTTTACTTGTAATGGTAGCCTTAAACTTTGATTTTAATCATTTTTAGATTTTACTTGCAATGTGTAATTGATTTACTTGCAATGGTTATTAGTGTTAGGGAAAACTAAATTACATAAGTAAGTAATTTAACCTTAGCTCGGTAGCTCCTCACAAATGAAAGGTTGGGTTAGTTCGTGAAGGATATAGTCCATGATAGCTACCAATTTCATGTCGGAGGTAACGGGAGTATAAGGTTGGCATATGATTATACATATAAACCCGACTACATGGTTGTTAGTATTGTAGTCTGGCATGTATTAGGGGTGCATGATTGTTATTATTATGACTTAGTTTGTGTTTGCAAAATGACATAATTATGTGTGTTTTTGGACCTGTTCCACATGGTCGTTAGTTTTGTGAACCATGGCCAAGTTTCTCATATGTGTTATACGTGTGGTTTGCCTATTTGCATCTGTTTACAATTGATATGCAACTATATAGGTTAGGTAAACTTGGTTACTGAGTGGTTGTACTCATCCCTCAATTCTCATATTTCAGGGCCTAGTTCATTGGACCAGAGTAGGGAAAAAGACTCTGAGCGTAGGATTTGGTGAAATCTACTTTCATGCCTCCTTTATTTTGTTTTGTGTATTAATATTGTGTAATTACCAACTAGGATCACTTGTTATTGTTTTTGGACTACTTTCATTACTATAATA